GAAGAGGGGTCGTCTTATACGGCAAGTATATCCCAAGCTCTATATTTTAACTTGTAAAGTTGGGGGTCATCTTATATGCTCAGTCGTCTTATGCGCCGGAAAATACGGGTATGTGCATAGTGAGATATCTTGGAGACAGGAGACAAGTCTAAACACAAAGTTCATCTATACTCCTTATACACATAGCCTGAAGGTAATTTTATACAACATTTGTAATATTTTTTTGCCTGAAACAAAGTTTGTTTACACTGGACCATTAGAAAACAAAGGTGTTACTATTTCAGCCACTCATGAATATAGTTTTGGGTTTTGGAATATTTCTGATTTTTGAATTCCAGATAAGGGAGACTCAACCTGTGTATCTTCATATGTACATATGTTTGTTTGTTTGTATATTTCTTGGTGTTGTGTGCCTTTAAGTAATTTCCAACTTATAGCTACCCAAAGACAAATCTATCACAGGGTTTTCTGAAGCTGAGAGTGTGAGACTTGCCCAAGGTCACCCAGTGGGGTTCCATGGCTGAGCAAGGATTTGGACCCTGGTCTCCAGAGTCACAGTCCAACACTCAAACCGCTATGTCACACAGGGGCTCTCTCTCTTGCTATACAATGCACTAATCCAGTCCCTAGAAGCCACCTGCACTAGGAGGAATCAGGCAAAACCTACACAGCAGCCTACCAACCAGCCTGCTTCTACATCCTCCAACATTATGAAGGTATGGGCTGTGGGGAGGGTGGTGTTATATTTTCCTTGGTGACTTTATAGTATGCCTGGCAACTAAATCATTAAACTGCCTCTGCACTGAGACTAAGTTCTACCTTGAAAGACCCAAGTACTAGTTTTCCCTAACATTTTTATGGAAAAAACCCAACTCAGTTCAAATGACAAATTCTAAACATACACTCTCCCACTTTCTTCTTCCCACACCAACATTCACAAGTTTCCAGAGCCCACCACTTTTGTTTTTAACTCTCCAAGCTAGCTGCTTCACTAGCCACTAGAATCCGCACACTTATCTGAGGACTACAAACCTCCATTTTAAAGGCAGTAATAGCAAGTCTGTGGCCTTACAGATGTTGCTGGACTCCTACCATTACTGGGCCCATTCAAAATGTCCAACAGCCAGGAATGAGGGGAGGCAAATGCCCAACGACATCTGGACAGCCTCAGTTCTTCATCCCTGGTTTAAGGAAAAGTGCAATGTGATCTTTGGCCCCAAAGAGCTGCTTCACACATGCAATTCTTGGGTAATATCCTGATTGCACTACTGTGATGTATTATAGCTTGGGCTGTAACACTTGGAAAACTACAAGCAGAACAAAATACAGAAGTTAGGTTACTGGCATTAAATACAGAGAACCTTAAAAAAAAACACAGCATCAACAAAGCATAATACACTACTCAGTCCATTTCCTATCACAAATCAAAGTACAGGTGCTCACTGTTAAAACACTAGACAGTGTGGCACACAAGCAGCTCAGGAAATTTCTTCTTCCACATGAGCCTTGCATTAAGATCTTCCTCAGAGACCCTTATCTAGGTCCTACTGCTGTTGGAAACTAGGTAGTACCTGGAAAGTGAGCCTTCTTGGTGGTAGCCCCATATCTTCAGAATATTTTATTCCTAGGAAGGCTCAGCTGTGTCAATTTCACCATCCTTTGGGCACCAGGTGAAAACCTTTTACATTTTCTCAGGTTTTTAGAAGTTCTAGCCTCTGTCCTATGTTAGGTTGCATCTACACTGCAGAATTAATACAATTTAACTGCCATGGCTCAGTGGTATAGAAATCTGGGATTTATAGCATGGTAAGATATTTAGCCTTCTCTATCAGAGAGCTCTAGTGCCACAACAAACTGAAAATCCCAGGATTTCATAGATGGAGCCATGACAGTTAAAGTAGTGTCAGACTGCATTAATTCTGCAGTGTGGCAGCAGCCTCAGCTTCTTATATACTAGGACACTTAAGTGCTTGTTTTTATTCCATTTAAAATGTGTTTCTAGCTTTACTATTTACATATTAAGTGCATACTGAAAACTGCTCAATTACCTGTTGGACTGAAGAAGAAAATATATTAAGTTATAAAACAAGTAAAAGCATCACTCAGCATTGTGGCCATGACATTAAATTTGATGTGCTGCTATCTGTGTACTGTTGTCTATGAGAATCTGGAGAGTTGTGATGGGGAGGAAGAACAGTACACACTAGGCTGAGCAAGGATACAAAGAACAACAGATCCCATTTACACATCCACACTGTGCCTTTCCCTTCTGCCTTGGCTATCTGGCAGTGTCTTGATCACACATTTGTGGTATAATGCACCCGTCAATCAGTATATACAGCACGGAGCTGGCAAAAGCAGACAATTCAAAGTCTTGGTTGGGGTAAAGAAATTAATGCAGGAACACAACCTTTGGCTCACAGGCTGACCTCCAGTGACCATTTCATTCTGTTGGAACAAATGACTCTCAAGAAAAGGTCTGAAATATCTGCTTGGCATTTCCCGAATCCTCACTTTACTGATGCTCTCGCCTGCAAAATACCACTCTCAAAGAACAATTCAGGTGGTTTCTGTGAGTCAAGCCCTCAGGGCCAGAGCACCTGCATCTGCCACCACAGGGAAACCCTTTAGGGTACCATCCCACTAAAGAGCCTGTGGCACATCTGCTAGATACATATTAATTCTGCCAATCTCCAAAGAAGGCTACATGCTAGGGCAGAGATGGAGAATGCCCTCCAGAGACTGTTGGACTTCAACCCCAGCAGCCCTAGCCAAGAGAGTCAATGGTGAGGGATGATGGAAGCTACCACCCATTCTGCACCCATGTACCAGTGGAAGATGTTTGTCTCAGGCCTCCTTATTTACCTACCCTGGGAAACATGAAACACCCAAACCTTGCCCTGATCTGCTTGTGATGCTCAGAAAATATACTCAGGGTTGGAAGAGGCTGCAAGGGTCATCTAGTTCAAGCCATCTTACACAGGAATGTACAACAAGAACACTCCTGAAAGATGCCCATCTAATCTCTATTTAAAGACCTCCAAAGAAGGAGAGTCCATCACCATTTGAGGCAGTCCACATTCCACAGCCAAACATGTTTTGCAGTAAAGAGGTTCTTCCTAATGCTTAGGTGGAATCTCTCTTCTTGTAAACTGTAATTTGGGTAAGGGCCAACTCAGGCTCCACAATGGACAGGAGTGGCAGATGTAAGGACAAATCTCCTGGAGATCTGACCTCTATTGCAGCCCCTGGAGTGAATATCCAAACAGTCCATAGAATGCCCTTGTAGGGGCTGTGGAACTGCAGCCTAAGACAGGATGACAGGAGTCTTCAGGAATAGCAGCAGAGATGCAGCACAACAGATTTTTCTTCTTCCTTCATAAATGGGACCCTAAAAATAAACCATTTCTTGCTGCCATGTTGTTGTTCTTGCAGCTACCCTCTAGTCAATCCCAACTCATGGTGACCCTGTGGATGAGACATCTCCAAGACCCTGTCCTCCATGACTCTGCTTAGGTCCTGCAAATTCAGGCTTCTAACCTCCTTGATTGAGTCTATCCATTTAGTGTACAGTCTTCCTTGCCTTCTAATTCCCTCTACCTTTTCTAGCATTCTTGTCTTTTCTAATGACTCATGCCTTCTCATGATGTAGCCAAAGTACAACAACCTCAATTTGATCATCTTGGTTTCCAGGGAGATTTCAGGCTTGATTTGTTCAAAGACCATTTGTTTGTTTGTTTTTGGATGTCCATGCTCTCTTCTCCAGCACCACATCTCAAATGAGTTGTTTTTCTTCTTGTCCAGCTCTCACATCCATACATGGTGATGGGAATGGATGGGTACAATGGCTTAGCCAAGTGATGGCGAACCTTTTTGGAGCCATGTGCCCCAACTAAGAGTTTTTCTGGCACTGGGCCTTACCGGATGGGACTTTTGCCCTCTGGGGGGCAGGACTTCTGGGGCGGGACTTTTCTCACTGCGCCTAAACTGATTTTAGGAGAACTTGAATGAGGCATCCAACAAAGGGAACACACAACACAATGTGGCTATCAACTGGCACTCGAAAGAATATTGAAAGCCTCACATATAAGAAAACCCTTCAGATTAGCAGTATTCTTCCAACTGAAGTGTTCTTTAACATTAGGACACACAGAATTCTTAGATCTTAGTATTCCCAAAGATTACTCTATAAGGAAGAAAGAGATCCTCAGCCTGTGCCTCATTTTACTTCCTTCATCCATTCACAATGGATTTCTGCCTCATAAGGAGTTACACAGATCCTATCTATGCAAAAATGTTACATTGCAATGATGGAAAAGGTTTCCAACTTTGAAATTTTGCCAGTATGCATTCATTCATTGAGCATGTTCCTTAGTCATTTTACTTTGATAGCTCCTACTTTTTAAATATTCTTTTCCTAAGCAACTATAAATGTTGTCTGTGAATGTGTTCAAAATACATAGGAATGTTCACAATGCCTAGTTCACAGCCTCTGAGCTACAATTCATTAACATATCCCATGCAGGAAATGTGGGAATTTTCCCCCCACTAGTGTTCTTGTAGTTTTGCTTAATTTTAATTCATTAAAAGTCCAACATATGATGTGCAATGTTTTATGCATTTTGATACCCTCATTTCTCTGACATACCTCAAGATGCCATTTTTTTAGAACTATCCATATTACTAATCCATATTACTAATCACACTGTGACATATTAGCCTGTCTCTGTTAAGAAAGGGCAGGAGAACTTAGTGTTCTTTAAAAAAAAGGACTGCAAGATTTTTCAATACACAATAGGCTGCTTTCTGTGTTGAGAAAAGGTGCCAAATAGCTCCCTTAAGGCTGCTGTAGACAGGGCAAAATGATAGCAATCTTAGAATTTGAAAGTTCCCTCTCCCCTCCCACCCACTGCTGCCCCCATGCTATTTAACCCAGAACAGTGTCAAGCAACTTAGCATTCAAAATCAGTAAGTCTCTCTCTCAATGAATGTTTTCAGAAATGAAGCTGGAGGAACATCTGGTTTGGATGGTTCACAGCCAGAAGTGGTAACAGCCAACACCAACAGACGTGCAAGAAACATTTCGGGTGGGGTAGGATGCTGACTTTCTGCACCCTCACAAAACTCAGAAGCTCATTTCCTGTAGAATGTTTCTCTATCAAATTTCCGAGAACTTTAATTTTTGCTCTGCAGCAGAAAACAAGCCTATTATGATCCTAGCCCTCATGAAGTGTTGGGCAGGGATGGGAATCATGCAGCCCTCTGTTTTGCGGGACTGCAAATCCCTTTAACCCTAGCCTAGAGCACCCAATGCAGAGTAATGCTGGGAGTTGCTGTCCAACATACGGAGCAGCGTATGATTCCTATCTCTCTAAGTGCACTGATTCCCCAACTTTGGTCTCCCAGAAGCCCTAGCCTTTAACCAACAATCAGGAATTCTGGAAGATGAAGTCCAAAACATCTGGAGGACCAAAGTTTGGCAAACACTGCTCTAGTGTTACAGGCAGGGTGGGAGTGATCGGAATGGAACAGCATTGTCCAAACCATCTGGGAAACTACATAATTTTTTCACCTCTTTTAACTCACAAT